TGATTCCGCTGCAACTAGGCTACAGTAAGGTGGAAGAACACACTCAGAGAATATTACTGTTATTTTTAATCCACAACAATGCGATGGCAAATCTCAACAGCTGGGGCGGTGAGACAGAGACACTGAATCCAGAAGGTCGAAGGAAGGATGCAATCTGCAGTTTGCAAGGAGCTTCAGAACCTGCGGGAGGTCCTCCCCTCCCGGCTACGGAACCCGTTTTAGAACTTCCACCTCCGTGCCAAACTAGCAACCCAAAGCATCTGAGAAAAATCAGACTCTTCTGCAGAATAATCCACTTGTGGGAGAAACGTGTTCCTGAAACAGCTGTAGAGCATACAATATTTCTCCCATTTACTTACAACATTAAATTGAAAATTCATTCCCATGAGGGATTTTTTTTACCACTCCTCCAAACCAAATAAAAAGCACACAAGAATGTAGAAAATCTATTAAAATGGCATATGGATAGAAAAAAAAAATGAAACTGTTCAGATAACATCGCACCACTGCCCAAAGGCAAAAAACAAAAATACACCACGAAAGCGGAGGCCGTTCCCATACACACTGCACCAATCTCAAAAGCAAACTGATCTCTGATTTCAAACGGGTGACTTCCAGCCCAAAGCAGGAGTCCGCTGGGAGTTTCTATTTTGGGAATTCTTTTTCAGTTCGAGCAATTCTGCACAGGTAGAATGGAGATGGAACCAATGTAACAATTAACACAGCTGCTTAGGGTTTAAGTGGATTTTCCAAGAAATCACTTGCACGTGTACCATAAGCTTGGCTCACTATGGTTTATTGTTGCTATCTGTGTTTTCATCGAAGCCAGGCTAATTCCTCCATCCCATCTCAGCCCTCTGCTGGAGCTCTCTTCACCCTGGCCTCTCGAGTAACTGCCATCCTTCACCCTGCTTCTCTGTGGAAACCTTCCCTCCCTCCCTCCCGCTTCATCACCCCCTAGCACCTCCCAACTGCATGCTATTTGGTTCCCACCTAATTGAGTACTTAATTATGTGTGGACTTGGGTTGTTCTTTAATTCCTCCATGTGTTACTCTCCCCTCCCCTGGTTGTAAGTCCCACATTCAGACCTGCCATAACCCCAGAGAACCTGTGGAGTGCTCAATATGGGTTTAGCAAATATTTATGTGTTTCTCCAGGAGACTCTTGAATAAAAGAGACTTGGGAGGGTCCAGCCTGTAGGTATAGGAGTCAGACCTGGGCTCAAGCCCCAACCCTGTCACTTTCTACATCATAACTTGGAGCCACTTCCTTCCCTTCTCTTAGCTCGTTTGCTTATCTCAAAAATGAGAATAACATTACTCTGTAGGGGAGGGGCGGGGAGGGTACAGCTCAGTGGCAGAGTGTGGGCTCGGCATGCCCGTGGTCCTAGGTTCAACCCCCAGAACCTCCTTTAAAAAATAAATAAGATAAATAAACCTAAGTCACCTCTCCCCACCAAAAAAAAAAATTTTTTAAAGGAACTAGGCACTTCAAATTAAAAATAAATGGAAAAGGAAAAAAAAACAAAACAAAACAAACCACTCCGTGCTGGTGTTTTTGAGGGGTCCACGAAACAATGACTATAAAGCACTCAGCACAGAGAAAGATCCAGGCTTCTGGACAGTAAGTACACAGTAGGTGGACTCAGTCAACGGTAGCTGTTGCTACGGAAACCATTCTCAGGACAAGCCGGTGCCTGGCCTGCCGGGCTGGGAGGCCGGTCACGTAGGAGGGGCTGCGGTGCTGCTCAGCCTGGGACTCCGTGCAGTCCTTTCGTACTGGCATCGGGAAGCCTCGTGTCTTCTCTCTGACTCCTTAGAACAATTTTGAGTGACTAACATAGGTACCAATTGTTCCACAGATTTGTCAGGCACTATTTTAAAATGTGACTACTTTGATTCTCACACTATGGTTGTGGAAGAATGTTATGTTTAGGGGGTGCTGGGTGACAGGTGCACAGGAACCTGGAACTACATTGGCAACTTTTTTTTTGGACCGTAAACTTGACTCTATTATGGTTTCTTGTTTATATTTCTCTTCTCGTTGAAGCCTGGCTAATTCTGATTCTGAAAATCTAAAATTAAACTAAAAGTTAAAAAAAAAAAGCTTCCTAATTAGTTATTTCCTTTAGTTTGGCTTCCTGTACTTAGGACTGCATTCCCCTCACAGAAATAACAACTGTATTTTAAAATTAGATTTGCTGCAGACCGAATGTTTGTGCCTCCTAAATTCGTATGTTGAAGCCCTAACCTTCTCAGGTGACGGTATTTGGAGACGGGGCATCGGGGAGGTAATTAGATTGTGAGGGTGGGGCCCCATGATGGGATTAGCGCCCTTATGAGACACCAGCCAGTTGCTTCCCTTCTCCCTTCCCCTACCCACAGTCTCCTTCTCCCCGCTCTCTTCTGTCAAGTGAAGACACAGCCTAAAGGCAGCCCCTACAAGCCAGAAAGAGAATTCTCTCCAGAAACCAAATTGGTGGCACCCTGAACTTGCACTTCCCAGCCTCCAGAACTGAGACAAATTCAGTCGACGGTTATTTGTCGTAGCAGCCTGATCTAAGACAAGATACCAATTCTTACTGGTACTCTCATGAAAACATCCCTACTTCTATCAATTGGATATTTATCCATTAAATTTACCCTCTGTGTGACTTTGGGCATGTTATTTCTTTGTGCCTTGGTTTGTTCAAAAAGTAAAGGGTAATAAAGTAAATTTCCACACAGGTTTAAATAAGTTGATTATGTAAAGTGCTTAGAAAGCGTCCCTTCTGTGGGACATGCTCAGTAGGCGTTAGCTGCTGTGGCCTTTATTATTATAAGACCACAGCTGCGTGCATATTCCTGGAGCAGAGCTATACCTCTGCACGAACGTACAGACTCGTTCTTGAGAGACTTGACCACCTGTGGCCACAGGTTGTCCTGGTTGGCTCTGACACGTGAAAAGTCCGTGTCTAACTCAGTGAGGCCGTCTTCCCCTAAGATGATTCTCAAGTTATGAATCAAGCTCAGCTCCTGGCGATGGTGGAGTTAGCCTGTGAGCCCTGCTGTCCCCACAGAGTGGGTGTTTTCTCTTGCACCGTGTACCCTGTGCCACCCCCGCCAGGGCATCTGGGCCTCTCTGTGCAGTCTTCCACCTGCAAGTCTCCTGGGGCTCACAGGAGAGACTGGAAAACTCAGGTAGCACCATACAGAGGAGGCAGGGGGCCAGTCTAGCACGCACAGTGCGTGTTTTGCTCTATTCAGAAGCATAACGAGAGCTGAACACTGGAAAACCCTGGCCAGGTATTCTTGCCTTACCGGGAGCTGTGAACCTCACAGCTGAGCCCTGACTGTTCACACGGGTGTCTATTATTCTGCCATCAGTAGCTCATAAAGCAGAGGAAAAACACTGCAACGTTTAGCCAGATGCTCCTCAACCACTTACCATCTATTAAGCCCACATTTTATGGTAATTTCCTTCTAACCGGCATGCTCTCTGCCCCCAGTACCTGACTGCTCATGGCTCCCAAGGAGTCTCCTTGCTCTGAGTGAAGGGTCCCCGGGTGTGTGCCACCCAAAAGAAGGGAGATGCAGGTGAGAACCACAGCTCCAAATGCAAGAGTGCAAATAGGATGGTTTGGAGTAAATAAACACCAAAGGTCAGCAGGCATGCTGCGTCTGTGATTGGGATTTCAAGCACCATCCGATCTTGACCACTAGCTGTACTGTGTCTGTTTCATAAGGTTTTCCAGCGGCAAAGCGTGTTAACCCTCTCTTAGCAACACCTTGACACCCTTTGCTTGATTTTCCCTGAATTCTTACCTGACAGGACAGCCCTGGGTAGAGAACTCGTCTATTTTTCAAAGAAAAAAAAAATGTGAGGATGTTTCCAAAAATAAGCTTTCCCTGGAACTGGCCCCTACCCTCCACCCTCATCTGTTTTCCTTAAACAGACCTTCTGCATCTTTTTTCTATAATAGCTTCAATTATTTACAACAACATTAAAGTCAGTTTTTCCATTTTTACGATAGCTTAGAATTCTCCAGTACAAATGGAAACATGGTATGTTTTCAGATCTAATGGAAACCAGGGTCCTCATCAAGGAAGAGGGAGTGTGTGGTGGTACTGGAGGGGCCCCAAGAGCAAGGAAACAAGGTTGACATCTGAGGGTCAAACCACACATCCACACGGCGGGTCGTCCAGTCACTGCAGAGACACAGAGTGGGTCCTGGGCCAACGAGACTCCAGGATACCTTAAGCGAGTGTGGACTTGGTGGGAAAACCAGTGGAAAACCCACCCCATGACAGTGCCCACCCAGACACGGCCCCGGGGAGGCAGCGTCCCAGCTGTGGACTGGGGATTCTGGCCCCGGGGACAGGCCGTCTGTGAGGGGTGCACAAAGTGCCATGAGTTGACACACAGGTTCTGAAGTCAAAATGCCTTGGTTCCAATCCCAGTTCCTCACCTACTCGGTGACACTACAAGGTTCTCCTCTCTCTGTGCCTCCATTTCCTTTTCTGGAAAATGAGGCTAATAATGAGGTAGTTGCGAGAACTAAAGAAATGAACCTATGTGAATTTCCTAGCACCGGGTCTAACACAGAGGTGGCTGCCGGTCTCATCACGGCGGACTCATCCGTCACGAAAGCCTGAAGCCCTCAAACATGCAGGTCATCCACCCAACGCCCCTTGTACTACTTCCACCTTCACCAATGGCACTGTTTAGCTGGCATCCCTGTCCCGTCCCCAGAGGGACAATACACCGGCCATGCTGCCAGAGTACCTCAAGCCACGTGGTGATTATGACTTTGATTGACATTGGGTATTCAGGAATTCGGTGGCCAGACCAGTCTCCTGGGAGATGTGTCAATGCGAATCAGTGGCTCTGCATCTGACCAGCCTGGGTCTCTGAGCCCTGCCTCGGGGTCAGCCTGGCCTTCACCCGAGTGCCCGCAGAGAAGCCACACACGCCTCAGAGCTGTACCGGCGCACCTCACACCTGTCCACGCACGCCTTACCCGTGACGTGGAGCTTTTCGTCGGTGACCTCGGCCTTCAGGTAGATCCGCCCCCTCTTCTCGGTGTGGTCCATCCCGCAGAGGCTGGGCACGTTGATGACACACTGCTTGTGCACGTTCATATCACAGGCTGTGAATCAAGAAAGTGAAGGGTGAGGCTGGGCATATGGACTCCAACCATCACTCCCTCGGTGTTTGGGTTGTACCAGCAGAAGCGAAAATGAGCTATCCTCTAACTTGATACTTTGCTATAATGTTTCTGGTGACCTCACGAACTGTCAGCAGATGTCCCTTCCAGCACAGGCTTCGTGTGAGTGACAATTTCCTTTAAATACCCGTACCGTATTTGTCCGGTCTTCACGGAAGCAAAATACACCCCCTGCCTGGTCTTCTGTGAATGCCTCAAATATTTCACACTGTATAAAATTCACACAGGTAAAGGCACACAAAGGGCAGATGAGTTAATATTTTATGTACACAGAGGCGAATACTATGCAAATTTTAAACAGAGGATTCCTTTTTTTTTTTTTGCCAAAGAATTTATGCCTTTCTGAGCTCACCACTCAGAAAGAGAATCTGCGGGTTGAGTATAGAAATTTATGAAATTTTCCTTTCCTCGGCTAACTCTGCATTTCCAAGGAGGCTTAAGTAGATTGCCTTTGCTGCTGTTGTTGTTTTTAAAAGAACTAGTGTTTGATATTTGAAACAGGTCTTCAAATATTTAAATATTATTTCAAGTAAAACAAATACATGCCTTGCATGATAAGCCATTCCTTACAGCTGACATTCCGTGGGTGAGACGGGAGAGGGTTTAAAAAAAAAAAAGAAAAGATCGGCCTTATTGCAATGAACCAAAGAAACCCTGAAAAGAATCCTGTGTGCTGAAGACAAACATAAGACTCCGTGTAGGTGTTTCAGCTCTAATGTCCTTGTCCTTTCTGGCTTCCAGAAGGCGGAGGGGCCACTGGAACCCTCACACATCTTTGCTACAAGGCTCTTCTGTGACCTTTAAGGTGGAGCCTTCATGCCCGCTTCACTTTGAGTGTTTAATGTTAACGCGGTGAGGTTAATTGCAAGAGGCGTTGTGAATAACGGATATCTGCTACGACCAAACCAGGAAAATGGACACAATGAGGGAAGACTGATCAGCTGATTCACAGAAGTGGATTCTGTTCCCAAAGGTAACCGTTCAAAATCACATCCCTTGGATTCAGCCAATACAAAGGCTCTTAAAAAGCTGTGTGATGACTTGTGTTGATCCAATCCCATCTTCTGGGCAGAACGGGCAACTTAAAGGAGAGAAATGCCAGAGCCTCTGGAAAGGATACAGACAATGGGGGGTGGGGGTTGCGGGGGCATTGGAGGCTCGAGGGCCCGGGGTTGTATTCCTATCTTGGCTCTACCATTAGCGGCTTGTACCTCTTGGGAAGCTCATTTGCTCTCTGATTCTATTTCCTACTCTGCAAACTGAGCGGCGGGGCTGCACCAGTGGTTGCTCACTTTCTTTCCACCAAGCGGAAGTATCTGTAGTATTAAAAGCCTATAACGTGCAAGGGCAGGAGAAGAGAGTTCTTCTCTGCAGAAATTAGGGGCGGAGGTCTGGGTCCTGGCATCCACCTGCTTGTTCTCCAGGAAGGAGTCCAGGGAGCAGCCCCCCAAACGCTAGGACTGCAAGGAAAAAAACGCTGAAAACAAAACACACTGGTTGAGGTCAGTGCTTTTCAAAATATTTAGTAACAGAACCCATTTTATAAGCAAAAACTTAAGCACAATCGTCACATATAAACCAACTGAGCGACATATTATTAGCATACATTTAGTTAATAAATTCAAAGCTATACGTTGACTTACTCTAAAGACATCCCTGGATAACCAACAAATCCTTCTGATCCAAAACTTTTAAAATCAGCTGTTGGGGACGTTAGGTAAAAGCTCAGTTGCTAATTCATACAGAAAAGATATGCGAATAGTTGATTAAGGGCATCCTGGTCAGCTCTTCAGCTAAGTGGACGCAGCAGGAAAAACCTGGTGGCCTGTTCTGCCCCCTGCGTGAGGCTGCCAACATCAAGTCTCCAAGGTCACCTTCAACTTGTCAAGGTCAAGCGTGTAACACACCTGAGGATTCATTCTTCCTCTAAGTTTTTAAATAATTAAAAGTGTATTTACAAATGCACTTAGAAGCCACAGTGGCAGAATCCCTGAAAACTCTATCTTGGGAATCCCATGGGTGTCTTGAAACATAGGAAGCCACTGGCTTTGATGGCCACAAAGGTTTTCTTAAGGTATTAAATTCTGCAGCTCTGTAAGGTGAATCAGCCCTGTGTTGTGAGAAATTATCCACCTACCCTACAAAGTGCGTGTATCTTGATTTTTATGTACAGATGACCCTTGAATAACACTAGGTGGGAAGTGTGTAGGTCCACTTATACACGGATTTTTTTTTTTCCAATAAATACACAGTTGGTCCCCCATATCCGGAGGGCCGATTACGGGACTTGAACTTCTGCAGATTTAGGTGTCTGAGGAGGGTCCTGGAGCCAATCCCCCGTGGATACCAAGGGATGGCCATGTCTGCATGTCTTTACGTCAGGACACACATAAAGGCTTTCGGCTGTAAAAACATCGTCAATGAATGACAGTATGCTGATATTTCCATAACATTTCCCTGTTACTAGAAAAACAGGCTCAGTCATTACCTTTTCATGTCCTAAAAATTAAATTTTATTGAAAGAAATAAATGGCCTAAGGAAATCTTATTACATAAGAATAATCAAAGCAAAGAGTTTCCACAGACGTTTTTCTTTCCTCCCGGCATCGGGTGGAGAAACATACAGAACAAAAAGGCGGATGGAAGGGCCCCGAAGTCTTCCTCACTAGTGGTCTTCAGGGAGTTCATCTCTAGCTGCACCGACAGACATCTGATCTGTCCGTAAACACGCAGGGCCAGTGAACTTTAAGTAAGACGCCCTCCTCCTGGCTTTTCATTTTCATTGTGGTTTAAGTTTTAAGGAGAGCCTGCTGGATTTTTCCACAGTCCACCCACTAATTAGAGACACAGAAAGATAATAACTGTGGATGCTCAGTTTATTTGGAAGCTTAACCAAATGTGGAATCCGGAGGTGGGGAGGCTTCTTTCAACACTTGGCATTTGCTTTGGGGTTTGATAAGCCTGCATTTTATAGTGATGGAAGATTTCTACCACGAACAACTGTGGCAACACCAACTTCATTAAATTGAGCGCTTTTTCGGGGTTCATAACGAGGCAGTTAAGTCATTTAAGAAGCCACAACCTCGACAGTGGAGAGATTCTACGTTTTTTCCGTTGCGTATATATCTGAACGTATTCTACGGATGAGCTGGTGCTGAAAAGTTACTAAACCTTAAGTGCTCTGTCAACCCTACAGAGCCTCGCCATCTACCAGAAAAGAAAACTTACTTACTGTCGCATTTCATCCCCTGATGGATAAGTCCATACAGCAGTGACCCGCAGTGATCACAGAAGGTGGGGCTTCCGTAAGTGTGGATCTTAAACTTGTGCTTGCTCCTGGGGTCCTGCGGGGAGAAGAAGCACACCGCTCACTCTGGTCATGAAAGGACCACACTTTTGGACTAAGCCACGCTCAGGACCCTCCCGCCACCCCATCTTCACGTCAGGGTTCAGTGGTGCCAGACTGTGCACCATTCTCTGGGGTCGGACAGTGAGTGGCAGCAACTCTGCCACATCACATTTTAATAGGGTGCCCATTCTGAGCCATGTACCAGATAGCCACATTTCCGCTCCTTCTGGGGTGTAATTTGCACAAATCAGGGTTTCTAGCAAAGCTATTGCTTCTGGACTAGTGTCAAAGTGCGGGAGGGCAAGCACACTGTTTTGGACGCCCCAGTACTGCCGTATCCCCAGTGTTCAGCGCAGGCTGCAGCAGAGAAGGCACAGAACCAGGGTGCGTTTGTGAAGATGAACTGGATGACCCTGGATCCACTCAACAGAGTCTGGGCCATTTCCTTTTGGGCGAGGTTTCCAGAAATAAAAGACCAGATATGCACCCAAAACAACCGGGACATCTCTCTGCTTCTGCACTAATTCCCAAAGCACTACATGCACCGGCATGGGGGAAAGTCCAGCAGAATCCGATGAAGACTGTAAATGCCCTGGCAGGACCCCGCCCACAGCCTCCTGCTGCAATTTCTTTATCTTCTCCAGCGTGCCTTACAAATTACCGAAGGTTCAACCAGGCAGCCTTTTTTTTAAGGCAGTGTTTTTGTTCCTCAATCCACAGACAGATTATAGATAAGGAAGACAAAATTACACACAGCATACTGGAGTAATTAAAGAACAGACTGCCTGCATTCAGATCCCCAGCGCTGTTACTTCCCAGAAGCCTGACCTTGGACACATCACCTCTCCTTCCTGCCTCACCTATACAGTGGGAAATTAACAGTACTTGTCTTAACGTGGCTGTTCTAAAGACAAAACAAGTCGATCTTAGGCAGGTGCTGAGAAGGGTAAATCCACGGAAAGCAGGAAGCTCCTTTGCTCTTTGCACTCCTGTTTCTTAACATGTAAAAGTAGAGGGTGGAGCTAAAAGATCAATATATCCTACTTGAGCTATGAAACAATTTCACAGTCGACATGCCCCTATCAGGACCCGTCCTCATTAAATTCCTCCTCCCACATCATTCTAGTGGCCTGAGCTGTTGCCACTGACTGAAGGGAGATGGCAGGAAGGCTCCACTGTAGACAAGGTAAGCTTGAGGTATCCTTTAGGGTTTCTCAGATGCAAAGACACTCAAAGAAAGGTATTCTCGGCTTCTGACTTTCTATGAGCCTAGGCGCTGGTGACTGGCGGCAATCCCAAAGGTGACTTTGACTTCATAAGCCAACTGACCTTCTAGCTGACTTTGAAGGTCACCAATACACCAATGAATTATTGTGACAACTTTTTTAAAGACAGAAATTTTAAAATTCTGAAACATTTCAATCATGCAGAATCATATAAAGGATAGTGAATCAGACACTCATGTCACTTTGATACCTCTTAGCATCTCCTCTGATTTTTCACTGTATAATTATCATCCTCATTCTACAGAGATGTTACTGATCTGCAAAGTCACCTGGCTGGTGAATTTCAGAGATGGGATCTGACCAACCTCTGAGACTTTAACAGTGATCCCCCCCACGAGAGCTTTCAGAATTCCACTCAGAATGAGGCCCTGGCTCCCAACATCTTTTTAAAAATTTGGATATTTCATAACACAGTTTTTCTGGGGAAAATGAGACCACCACCTGCTTTGTAAATAAAGTTTTATTGGAACACAGCCACACTCATTCACTGACATTTTCTGTGGCTACAATGGCAGAGTAGTCTAGACAGAGCCAACGTGGTCCACATCGTCTAAAATACTTACTAACTGGCCCTTACAGAAAAAGTCTGCTAATCTCTGCTTTAGGACCATGGTGTTCGAAGTTTGGTCCCTACATAGCACCAGCATCACCTGAAACTTGTTAGAAAGGAAATTATTTAGCCCCTCCCCAGACCAAGTGAGTCAAACTCTGCCGATGAGGCCCCAAGGTGTGTGTTTCAACACGCCCCGCAGGTGATCCTGAGGTTGGCAGGTCCGTGAAGGGCGGAGAGCCGCTGCTTTAGAAGGTTCCTCAACAAATACAGAGTAAGTGCCAGGTGCGCCCGGGTGTAAATGATTAACAGTGTTCTCCAGGCGGGTCACACGTTTACTTTTGAAATGTCTCTCAGGAGTGAAAAATCAGCACCTTCCCTGCAAGGTGCTTCTTCCTAGCCAGTAGCGGCTGTGAGCGTGGTCTGGAGAATGGGCTGGGCCTTCCACCACTCAAGCAGCGCACCGATCTGCCCAGTATCGCAGGACGTTGGGCAAAATGTCAAAAGCGCAGGCCAGTGTCAGTATCAATTAGAAGTTCCCACGCGGATAGTAAAGGTTGTAACCTACCGCGTGGAGGACAAACAGGATGCTCGGGGAAAGGACACAGCCGGTGTTCCCTGCAGGAGGAGGGCGCGTCAGCAACCAGCACTAGACAAATACGACGTGGCAGCGCACACGAGGCCCTGCGGAGCCTGGGCGCACGGCAGCTCCGGGGCAGCTGTCCTGCCAGTGGCCTGTCACGTTGATGTCTGTTGACGTGGCACACGGGTAACTTGTTTCACTTTTCAGGGAAATCTAAGGCTTGCTCATCCAACCCTCATCTGGCATCGTCAGGCTCCAACCGGCTGGGGGCACCGGAAGAGAGGAAACCATGGCTTCCGCCTCCTGCACAAGGCTGGAGAATGACCCAGCCTTGGAGTCCTCATCCCCTCGACATCCCATGAGTGGCCTAGGCTGGTGCCTGTGATGACAGTGACGACAGTCACAAGCAGAACACCTCTGCCTGCTCGTCGATCATCACTGTGTGCAGGTGCTTTATGAGAACCAAAACCTCTCCTACAAACAGAACACCTTCCCAGGATTCTGGAAACCTGTGTTCTGACTCCAGCCTTGATACAAACTCAGCAGCCTTGGAAAAGTCGTGTCATTTTTTTAAGAAGCAGAAATAAAACCAGTCTGTCTATGTCATAGCCTGGGGGTGAGGCTTGGGAACGTAGGAGAAAGGGCTTTGCAACCTGAAAAATCCCTGGACGAACACAAGAGAAGATTAATTCCAACAATGATATAATTGTAATAAACTCAACGTGTCCGAGATTTCCCAATAATACCTCAGTGACCTGGGCTTGAATGGGAAGGAACGAGAAAGCTAATTGACTCCAGCGATCCCAGGTGCCTCGAGCTGCGGCCGAGTCGGCCAGCAGGCCCAGGGCTTCCTCTGCGGTCCCGAGTTCCTGCCCTCTGCCCCAGGCCGGCCTTGCAGGGCAACGGCCACGCCGAGCGGTAAGCTGTGAGACCACCTGGCAACCCAGCCCGCCCGTGCACTGTCTCGGCGCTGGGGACCCGTCCAACTCCCGCCCCACAGAAACAAGCCTCAGGAGCATGGATGCTCTTTCCTGTCTGCTGCCTCTCACCCCGTCTGACGAAAGAAATCATGGTGAGCTGAAGAGCTGTGACTTCTGGCGATGTGCGGAGAGCAACTGTTAAAAACAAACAAAAAAACCCTTTCCAGCTCTCTGAGTTTCCATCAGTAGCCAGTAACTAGTGGTGCATTTTACTTCTTTGGGCCCTGAGTTCTTCATCTGGAACCTGAGGGTGTTGGATCCTGGATCAGGGTCTTTGGTGTGGGATTTGACAGAGCCCCCGAGTTCTGCGAGGTGCCTGCGGGCTGCTGAGGGAGGGAGAGGCAGGCCACCGCCAAGAGACAAACGTGAACATGACTACACTACATGATCGCTTCGCTTCTGTCTTACTTGGAGAAAAAAAAAAGGAAACAACAGACTTTACATTTTTTATTTCGAAATAATTGAAGGCTCACAGGAATCTGCAAAAACAGTACAGACTGTTCCCACACACCCTTCACCCCGCTCCCCGCAGCGATAACATCTTACATGACCACGGGACACGAGCAAAACCAGGACGTGGACACTGCTACAGTCACATTAATGGAAACAACAGACCTTTTTAGCATTTCTCCAGGTCTTCTGTGCATAATTCCCATGCGTGTGTTTTTACTGCACACTCACGAACTAAATACACTGTTTGCTGAATAGGAAATAGGGTAATATTTGCTGGGTGAATACCATGAACTCAACTAGAACACCATCAAAGGAGCATCTGTTGTTGGTTCATCAAATATATAAACCGCTGGATCTCAGGGGATGGGGTTGTGGGAGGACGAGTCTAAAGATTTATTTGAAAAGCAGAATCAGAATGCTATTCTCTAAGTACAGGGAGCACATGCTGTTTCTAACATTTTTTCTGATCAGTTTTCCAACACAAAAGCATTTTTTTTAAACATTTTTTACTGATTCATAATCATTTTACAGTGTTGTGTCAAATTCCAGTGTTCAGCACAATTTTTCAGTCATTCATGGACATACACACACTCATTGTCACATTTTTTTCTCTGTGAGTTATCATAACATTTTGTGTATATTTCCCTGTGCTATACAGTGTGATCTTGTTTATCTATTCTACAATTTTGAAATCCCAGTCTATCCCTTCCCACCCTCCACCCCCCTGGCAACCACAAGTCTGTATTCTCTGTCCATGAGTCTATTTCTGTCCTGTATTTATGCTTTGTTTTTGTTTGTTTGTTTGTTTTTTGTTTTGTTCTTAAATCTGTTTTTACCTGTTCTATTTTCAATTACTCTCTTAATTTTTACTTCTTAATTCATTTCTATTTCTCTTGGGTTTTGATGTCCTGTTATTGATTAGACACAGGCTTCAAATACATCTATTCATCTCCCCACCCC